GGGGAGGCGCCCAGGCCTCGGGTAACCCCAGATCAAGAATAAAATGAAGCCAGGTATCAGGGTTGGTCCTGAAGGTGGTCTAGACTCCCCCCATCAAAAATTGCATTTTTAAAATTTTTTTTATTTTTTAGAGACAGGGTCTCGCTCTGTCGCCCAGGCTGAAGTGCAGTGGCATCATCATAGCTCACTGCGGCCTCTAACTCCTGGGCTCAAGCGATCCTCCTGCCTCAGCCTCCCAAGTAGCTGGGACTGCAGGCGCCACCACTCCTAGCTAATTTTTCTATTTTTTGTAGAGATGGGGTCTTGCTCTGTTGCTCAGGCTGGTCTCAAACTCCTGGCTTCAAGCAATCCTTGGCCTCCCAAAGTGCTGGGATTACAGGTGTGAGCCACCGCGCCCGGCCTAATTCTGTGCTATCATCAAAATAAATAAAACTGAGAAGGTTCCAGTTTCGGCCCTGCTGCTCCCTGACTCCGGGCAAATGACTTCACCTATCTGTGTCTCAGTTTCCCTATCTGTGTAAGGGGTCTATTTAGAGCATCCACCCCTTGGGAAAGAGGGTGTTGTGCAGATTAAACGAGTTCATTTAAGTACTTATGACAATGCCTGGCACATCGCAAGTGCCTTATTATTTATTGAGCTCCTACTGGATATGGGGCCCAGTGCTGGGTGCTGGGAACACAATCGAGTGGACAGGACAGACCCAGCCCTGCCGTCCCAGGGCTCACAGCCCAGTGGGGGAGAAGGACAGTTAACTAGGCATCTACAAGACAAGGGGAGCAGGGCGCTCAAGGGGGACACACAGACACTGTGGGAGGCTGGAGGCGATCCCTGCCCAGCTGGGGGCTGATCTGGGAAGGCTTCCTGGAGGAGGTGTCTGAGACCCAAAGATTGTGTTCACCAGGTTCCACGCAGAGGGAACAGCATGTCCATGTGCACATGCCCAGAGGTGGGGACAGAAGGGAGGGGATGAGCTGGGACCTCATTTCAAGGGCGCTGGGGAGCTATAGAAGAGTTTAGAGCAGTACCTTTCAACCGGAGTGCTTCTGCCTCCAGGGGACACTTGGACGTGTCTGGAGACACATATGGTTGTCATGACTTGGGGGCGCTCCTGGCTTGGAGCAAGTACAGCGCCCAGGATGGCCACACTGGACTTGAATTCTAGAAAGTTCCCTTTGCTACCGAGAGGAAGATGTGTTGCTCGTGGGGCCGTCTCCAAGTTGAGGACCTGGCAGGAGAAGCAGGTTTCATGCAAGACCAGAGCCCAGCTGGGGGCTCAGGAGCCCTAGGGGTGGGCTTTTGGGGGCTGGAGGCAGCTGGTGACAGAGGGACGAAAGGAAATCCCTTCCCAGCCTCGAGTGGCTGCATCATCCCAAAGCTAAGAAAACCAGGAGAAGCCAGACACGGTGGCTCATGCCCATAATCCTGGCACTCTGGGGGGCTGAGGCGGGTGGATTGCTCAAGGTCAGGAGTTCGAGACCAGCCTGAGTGGGAGCAAGACCCCGTCTCTACTAAAAAAAAAAAAAAAAATAGAAAGAAATTATCTGGACTACTAAAAATATATATATAGAAAAAATTGGCCGGGCATGGTGGCACATGCCTGTAGTCCCAGCTACCCGGGAGGCTGAGGCAGGAGGATCGCTTGAGCCCAGGAGATTGAGGTTGCTATGAGCTAGGCCGAAGCCACGGCACTCTAGCCCAGGCAAAAGAGTGAGACTCTGTCTCAAAAAAAAAAAAAAAGAAAGAAAACCAGGAGGAAAAAAGTAGCCACGAGGTCCCATCCAGGCCTGGGGCCTCAGTCTGCCCATCTGCGAACTGGGTATTAAAGTCGCAGCCGGCCTCACAGGGTTGCGGGGTGAGAGAGTGGGGCCCTGGGCTCGCTGCAGCTGCCATTTCCTCCCTGGCGGGGCTACAGCCCCAGAATACGACCCTCAGTTTCCCTGTCTGCAAAGTGGGCTTAATGTCACACCAACCCCACAGATCCATTGGTGGGTTTCACGAAGTAATTCCCAGAAATTATCCTGCCCTGTCCCTATGACTTAATAAGCCACCACCACCAACAGCAATAATGTTTGCATTTACTGAGCACCTACTGTGTGCCCGGCACTGTGCTATTTAATACTACTCACCACAAGTCTATGAGGTCAGTACCATTACCATGCCCATTTTACAGGTGAGGACCTGAGGCCCAGAGAGAGAGAGTGACCTGTCCAAGATCACACAGCGTGTAGGTGGCAGAGCTGAGATTCGAACCCTTGCAGCCTGGCTCTGGCACCCTTCCCCCAACCACAATGCTGCATGGCCAATGGAAGCTGTTGTTTTAAAGTTTCTTTAGTTAAATATTCCGATAAAATGCAAGATAAAAGGCATACTGCTCACGCCCCTTAGGATAGCTGCTATCAAAACACCGAGAGAACAGGTGTTGGCGAGGATGGGGAGAAACTGGAACACTTGTGCACTTGGTGGAAACGCGACATGGCGCAGCCACTGTGGAAAACAGTGTGGCAGTTCCCGAAACAATTAGAAATAGAATTACCACCTGATCCAGCAATGCTCCTTCTGGGCATACGCACAAAGGCATGGAAAGCGGGGACTCAAAGAAATATCTTTACACCGTGTTCGTAGCAGCGTTGTTCGCAATAGCCAAAAGGCGGAAGCTGCCCAGTGTCCGTGGATGGGTGATGGATACACACAGCGTGGCCCATCCACACGCTGGAATATTATTTACCCTTAAAAAGGAAGGAACCTGGGCGCCATGGCTTACGCCTGTGATCCTGGCACTTTGGGAGGCCAAGACCAGAGGATCACTGGAGGCCAGGAGTTCGGGAGCAGCCTGGGCAACATAGCAAGACCCCACCTCTACAAAAGTTAGCCTGGTTTGGTGGCACACACCTGTAGTCGCAGCTACCTAGGAGGCTGAGGCAGGAGGATCATTTGAGCCCAGGCGTTTGAGGTTGCTGTGAGCCGTGATGACGCCACGGCACTCTAGCCTGGGCAATAGAGTGACACCTGTCTCAAAAAACAAAACAAATCAAAACAAAACATCAAAAAAAAAAAAAAAAGAAAAGAAAAGAAAAGGAAGGAAGGAAGCTTTGACACGGGCCACAGCGTGGAGGGACCTTCAGGACATCGTGCTCAGCGAGAGACGCCAGACACAGAAGGACAAATCCTGTGTGATTCCACTCACAGGAGGTCCCTAGAGGCGTCAGATCCACAGAGACAGGAAGTAGGATGGTGGGTGCCAGGGGCTGGGCAGGGGGTGGGGGGTGAGTGGTTCATGGGGACAGAGTCAGTTTGGGAAGATGAGAAAGTTCTGGAAGTGGAGGGTGGTGATGGCTGCACAGCAACATGCGTGTGCTTAACGCTGCTGAGCTGTGCCCTGAGAAATGGTCAAAGTGGCAAATTTCACTATGTACATCTTGCCGTATACATTTAAAAACGGCAGGCGGCAGACAGTGCTCCGCGGGGGTTCTTGGGGAGGGGTCTACAAGGACCAGCGGCCTGAGGGTCCTGTAGGCCACGGTGGGGTCGAAGGTCAGGGGCTGTGCCTGCCAGGCAGAGCCAGGGGGCCGGACGCAGGGGTCACTGGGAACCGCGGGCGGCTTCTGGGCCGGGGAGGAGCCGCGGAAGGAAACTCGTAAGGAAGCAGAGCCGTGCCCCGAACACACGTGGGATCCGGGCGTCCTCTGAGTCACAAATCCTGGAAGCCCAGGGTCGTGGAGAGGAAGCCCTGCTGGGCTACGCAAGGTCTTCCTGTTTTCTGGCCCTGGGTGTTCGGTGGCCGCCACTCCGGGGCCCATGTTCCCGAATCACACCTCCAGAGGCTTGCGACCCCCGACCCACAAGGCCCGGGCAGGGCTGGGAGATGTCCCTGCTGCCCAGATGGGGAAACTGAGGCATGGGTGTTGCTCGAGACTTCCCAGAACGACGAGGCTGCCGAGATTGTCATTTGGGGCCTCCGCGACCTGGACTGCACCCCTTTCTGGTAGGGGGTGCGGGCTGAACCTCAAGAGGGGGAATTCTGCTCACCGTTTATTGCTTGGTGGTGTGGGTGGAGGTCTCTATGCCACACATCCGGAAGGTGCTGGAAGGTGGGGCAAAGTTACTTTGAATGAGAGCAGGAACAAGGCTTCCTAGAGAGGGAGTGAGGCGCCTGTCACAGAGGTATTCAAGCAGAGGACAGAAAGGCTGAACTTGGGAAAGAAGCCAGACCTTCCCGGCCCTCTGAGGCCCCCGGCCAGCTGGAATCGTTTGTAATTCTAAAGCCATGCAGCTCCTGGCTTGTGGCTTATAAAATTCGAAGCGTCTTTGGGTCTTTTTTTTTTTTTTTTTGAGC